TCTTGGTACGCCTCTTTTTTTTCCGTCATTTTTATTGACATAAAAGGCAGCACAACTCCAAGGAGATGCACTTATTCTCATTAGATTTTTGCTTTGTAATTCATCAATTTCTTTTTTACAAAATTCTAATAAGGTTGTATTCATTTGTACTGGTCTAGCTTTGGTAGGAATTTTTGATTCATCAAACCCCTTTTCGTAAGGTAATCCTACTATATGTTTCTTTCTTGCCCAAAAGGCATTAGGAAGATTACTACAAATTTCTGTTTCTATTTGAGTTCGAAGATTATTAATTTTTGTTATTATCTTAGGGTTTTCTAAATCTTCTTCTATTTGTTTATATTTTATTTCTATTTTAAGGGAACATAGAAACTTTTCTTTATTATCCATTGTGACTCTATTGATTTCTTTAAGTTTTGGTTTTTCTAAAAATTCAAACTTAATTGTTTGTCCTACTCTAGATGTTTCTATTCCTGTATTATTAATTGTTATGGGATATAGTAAGGTTAGGAATGGAATTCCAAGTATGACTGCCTGACTTAAGTTTTTTACCATAATAAAAGGTGTTGGAAAATAGTGTCCATTATTACATACCATGACATTTGATAATTTATATTTAATAAATAATCTACTACCATCAGCAGTATTAAGTATTTGAGTAGTTTTATCAAAATATTTTGATGGAACTAAACTTTCATTAATACAATTTAAATCTGCACATGAATCTACTAAAGCTAATGTTTGAAAATTATATTCCTCTTCGATGACAATTTTTACTAATATAAACCATTTTTGAGAAATAATTTTATTTACTAAGTTTACCGATATATTTTCTTCAACTTCTTTGGTTTTGAAGGTTTCTGGTTCTTTATCACTAGAATTTGCTAGTTGATCGAATTCGATTTCGTCTGTATCAGTTACAGCTCCTGATATGTCATTCTGTAATTCTAATATTTTGATTCTAGTTTTTAATTGTTCTATTTCTGTTTTTATTTCATTTACTTCTTTTTTTAATTCAGATATTGTGGGTTCTCTTTGAAGTATATTTTTTTTATTAATTCGTTTGAGTATTTCAGCAAAATTGTAATCCTCTGGTGGTTCGAGTAATGGAATTGGTTTATTTTTTGCTTTTGTTAATGTGATAAATTGGGTAATAATTTCTCTTTTTTCCTCTAGATCATTTATTTTTTCTATAAGGTCTAATATTAATGTATCTTCTTTGGATAGCATATTACAGGAACATTCTTCTATATTCTGTTCAGATCCAGATTGTTCTGTTGAGGACATGAAATAATCTTCATCTTCTATTTGTCCTACCATTGTAGTATCAGTGGAAGATTCAAAAGAATCATCATCATATATTTGTATTATATCATATAGTTTATTTCTAATGGATTCTTCTAAGATTATAGTATCTATTTTCTTTTTTATTTTACATTGGCTTTTATAATGGCCAACTTTTCCACATTTATAACATACAGGTAATTTCTTTTTACCCTTATGATACTTGTATTTTGGAGAGAATCTTTTTATGAATTTATCTTTCTTGTATTTTTTATAAGATTTCTTTTCTTTTCTTTCTGTCTTATATTTTTTCTTTTTATGAAATTTATCTCTAGATTTTTCTATATGATATCCGAATTGTTCACAGAAGTCTCCTAATTCTTTTTTACCAATTATTTTTTGTTTATCTAATTGTTTCTTCAATTTCATGTCAGTACATAGGGCTAATCCTTCTGCACATATCTCTGCAGATAATTCTCCTAATGTATAAACAGAATATGGTATGATTCCTCCATTTTTATTTTTTAATCTAGTTTTTATTTTTTCTGCAAATAAATATGGTAATCCAGCAATAAATTTTTCTTTCCAATGATCCTGCTGGTTATCTTCTCTGCTTAATAGTCTGGAAAAGAAAACATCTTTGTATCATTTATAATGGGATAGGGTTGGACATCTTAAATTAGATAATAAATCTTCAGATCGGGCTTCAAGTAAGGCTGTACTCCCCACAAAATGAAGGGTGATGGTGTAAATGAGAGTATTAACAGCATCACTTTCGGAATATAGGAACGTCTTGATTATTTTCATTTTTAATAGTCCATTGGCGAGTATTATTCAAAATTTGTTGTTTTGTATTTTCAGGTAAGTGGAAATCCCACAAACCTCGAAGCCATCCTGTGAAACCACAAACAATGGCTTTGGCGACCTCTTGATCATGGTTGCCTACCATTTTGCACGCAGAGGCATACATGGTCATATGTTTCATAGTGTCTAATATTTGTTGTTCAGATAATCCATTTATATTCCAATTTACTATTGATCTTCCTGAATAGGAAATATTCTGGGCTACCAAATCTTCTTCGAATTGTATATCAACAGGGGTTGGTCTATGATGATAGGGCCTAGCTGTTAAAGGTTTCCATGATTTTCCATATACTATTCTTTGAATATTATTATTATCTTGTTCATGACTATTTTTCGTAAAGGCTTCTTCCATATTTTCTATTGTGTTGGCAATTATATGTGTCTCTTCTTGTAAGGTTAATGTAGATGATTCAGGGCTTTCTGTAGCAATTTTATCTTTTCCTTTGTCCTGAATGTTTAAAGTTTTTTCTTTAATTTCTAATTTAGATAATTTTGATATTAATTGATCCATTAGGGTTTTATTATCTTCTCCAAAATTAAATTTTTCTTTATCAAGTGATGGAGGTGGTTTAAATAAAACATTTTTGGTTTCTTTTATAGGTACAAGTCTTAACATATTTTCAATTCTGGATGCTTGCCTTCTTAAAGATTACATATATAAATTTGTATAGTTATTTTGTTCTATTACATGTGGAATTAATTCAGCTTTATGTATTATTTCTCCTGTAGTCATTTTATATGGTGTAGCCTTTGTTTCTAATTTTAATTCTGGTTTTGATCCTTTTATAATAATACTTTTTTCAGGAGGGTGAATACTTGTCATTGTATTTCCTTCAGTTGTTTCATATGAAGCATATTGACTTTGTATTGTATTTATTTCAAAATTAGGAATATATATTTTTCGTTCCCTACATATTTCTTTTAACCAGACAAAAAATCCTTTGTTATATCGTTCTCTTTTTCGTGCCTTATTGTACTTTATATGAAATAATTCTACTAATCTAGGTTGAAAATGTTTTTTATACCAAGTTCTTATCTCCTTATTTTCTTCAGATAAGTAATCCTGTTCTATAAATTGTTTGCTAAGTCTTTTTTATTCTGTGAGAGTTAAGACTTGAAAATCCATTTCTGAGTCAGTTATTTCTGGTTCAGATTTTTGTATGGACCTATATTGTGGGATGATAATATTTTCTCTTGTTCTATATAGACTTTCTAAGTTTGGATTTATAGAAGAAGTAGAACTTCTTGGTAATTCTATTATAGGTTTTGTAGATGATTTTATTTTTGAATCATCTTTACTGTTATTTCTTCTATTGTTGGTAAATTGGATTTCTACTTTACCATTAGGATTTTCTAATATTCTTTCTGGAATATTATTTATTCTTGGGGCTTGGTACTGATGATTTTCATTGTAGATTGACCATGATTCGGGTAGAATAATTTCTGACCATTCTATGGTTTTTGGTATAATAGTATTAGATTTTTCAATATTGGTTTGAAAAAGTATTGTTTTTCCTCTTGTATCATGTTGTAAAACTTTAGGGCATAATGTAGTCATAACTTTGTAACATATTCTATATACTATGGCTAAATTTTGAGTTCCTGGGATCATATCGAACCCTTGGGTCAGGTTTAGGGTTAATACCTTAAGGATATTTGGATCTTTTAATGATATAGAATAATTTGGGAAGCAATTAAAGTATACTGGACCATTACATAAACTAGATTCTACCATACCTAATAAGGAATCATTAGACTTATTATGTCTAGTATCTCTTAAACATACTAATATTGAATTATTAAGTCTTAACCTGGTTAATGGTTTAATAGCTACTTGTATTAAACTTATATGAAGATAATTGTAACTTTTATCATTATGAGATTGTATTATTTTATTACTTAATAACTGAAAATCTTCCTGGGTACTTGTTACTGATAGAGTTTATTCAACGGTTTTTATAGCATAACCTACTTTGAAGTTAAAAGATCTTTTTTTATATATATCACTTATAGGGACTTTAGGTATATTCTAGTTCTGTATTTGGTTTTCAATACTATCTATTACTATCTTTTCTTTATTTTTTATCTTAAGAATATTACTAGTTTTGGGTAATGCTTTATTTGATAGATTCCTAGTGAAATTCTTCATTATTAGGTTGATGAGTGTTATTTGGACAGTTTTTTTTGACTACCTCTTATATCTGTTCTAACCTCAACGGTTCTTCTTGCTTTAACGGTTTGTAGACTGGGTATCTAATAATAGCAGCATTGGAAGAGAGGGAGAGTCAAAGATGGAAACCTCTTTATGAAAGTTTAAGGCCACCACGCCATGTGATGTCCACGTCACAGTGGCTCCTTTTTTTTGTTGCAATCGTCTGCTCCAATTTGCCATTGTTGGTATAATGCCATTCTTGTTGCTATCAAACCCTAATTTTACCCCAAATGGGCCCCTTTCATACATTATCTTTAACGCCTAGGTCAACCAATTCTTGCAATGGCCATAACAAGAATTCCTAATTTAACCATAATTCTTGCATTGAATCTTTGGAACCCTATTAAATTTTTTCATGGGAGTGGTTGGCTCTTAGTGTTTTTTAGAGCCAAGAACTGGAGACTGGCCCATTGCTTTCCCCATATTTCTTATTTATTTTAGGGGTTGAATTTGTAAAACTGATCATTCAAATTTATTGTGGGAAAATGGAGGTTTTTGTGTGAATACTTTTGATGGCATGGGATCTCATTTTAGATGCTATTGTATGCCTCTGAGTGAGAAATTCGGGTGAGGAATACATTAACAAAATTACGGTTTCTGCTGGGATTCTTCTGATTCTGGGTTTCTGAATAGCTCATAGATAAGAAGAATTTTGAGTTTTTATTGTTGATTGTTCGGTTTGGAGATGGCGAGTGTGAGTCTTCGTGTCAAGAAGGCCACCAATGATCTGCTCATTGGTCCAGACTGGTCTCTGAACTTAGAAATATGTGATATGCTCAATTCTAGGAAATGGTGAGGTTCATATATTACCTTTTTTTTTTTTAATGTATTGCACCGTTTCATGCTTATCTGGTTTAGTTGTATAAGTACTTGTCTGGTTTTCATAACTATTTCACAGTGGAAGGATAAAGTTTTTATACGGCCTAGGCTTTATGAAAACAAAATAAAGCCTTGCCTCAAATCTTCATCCGGAAAGCAATTTGGGCATCAGAAATTTTTATGATGGCTCTAAAATCAATTTTCAACATTGACAATAAAATTTGAAACTAAAAAAATAGTATAGATCTTACGGATATGTTAACACTTATTTTTAGGGTGAAATGGATGGTTTAGATGATTAATTGCAATATACACTATTTTTAAAACTTGAAATCCAAATTTTTTCTCACAACCATAATGTTCAATCTGAGATGATTGATTTAAAGGTTTTTCAACTCTTAGGAATTTTTGATGAGTTATGAGGTGAAGCTTTACTTATTTTGATAGGGGTGCTGCCCTATCAAACCATTTTCATATATAATATATAGGAAAAGTATGTAATGAGACCATTTATCTTTGGTACAAGGTGGTTACAATTAATCTTGACCATTGGATGTAAAATTGGGTGGCCACATTTATTGCATTGACCAAACTCAAAGTTCAAAAGAAATTTTTTTGAATTTTGTGACACATCCAAACTATTAGATTTCACATCGGATGGTTATGAGTAATTTTGACCTCCTTGTATCAAAGGTAAATGGTCTTACCGTATACAATCCCTGATATATATATATATATATATATATATATATATATATATAGTATGTAGTTGTTGTTAGTTTTACTTTATACTATATCGTCCCTACTTTACTATAACTTACCTTACGTTTTTTAGTTATTTATTTAGTAAGTTAGTTTCTT